CCTTTAGATAAAGTAATATTTAATTAATTTATAAACTATCTTAATTAGGCAAAATTTGTGAGATTTTAAAAATTTATGATCTGAATTACTATAAATATATATAATGCATATTGTAATCGATTTAGTATGATATATATATACATTAAAATATTTTTAATCAATAAAAAAAATGAATTTTAACATATTAAAACTATTATATATAGCGCCATCTATTTTTTTAAAGTATAAAAATCGCAATATTTTTTAAAATAAATATCCAGCCATGCTATTTGTTGAAGAAATTATTAAAAAAATAGTAACGGATAATATTTTTTAAAAAATTAAAAATCGGAGATCATATACATTTCGAAATATTAATTTCAAGTTTTCAACTGACCATAAGATGACCCATAGTTTATCAAAAATTAATTTTGATGTTTTCACCATAATCATCAATTATTAACTTAGCTATTGATATTAGATTTAATATTTGATCATATTTAGTTTTAAATTAAAAACTAATTATTTAATATCAGTAAAAGGCAAAAAAGACGTTTTTTAGACCTTTAACCCCGAATATCTCCGCTAATATAATTGCTAATGCTCTAAAATTTTGTTTATAATCTAATGGGAACATATATAACCAGCCTACGATTTTTTATCGAAATCGAAAGGGGTCGGCCGAAAAGTGATTGATTTGACATGGAATGACCCTAACATTGTTTCACAAAAAAATATTATCCTTATTTTCTTTAGATGTTAAATCTATTGGTATTATAATTTGAACATAATTATATACTACTGGTACTACATTGAGGGCTTCTTTTAATACTATATTTTGAAAGTATTTTTCTTATCATCTGACTTAATTTCTTAAAATATGGATGTGATAATGATGCCAAAAAGCCTCTATATTCATCATCATAGAAAAAAAATCCCAAATCTTTTGCCCATACCATCTTAATTTAACCACAAATAGTATGGGCACTAATTATTTTTAAAATGTACTACTCGCCCTTGTAGTTTTTTGAATGCAATTGCTACAGGACTTAAAACCCTACAATATTCCTTGATATAAACAATATCCATTTCTTTAAAAATGAAACAATCAATTGTTTTCAAAATATGATTTCTATTTTAATATTGAAGTTATACTATTGTATATGATATTCCATCTGGTTATGCATTTAACTTTCAACTTATTGTCACCTGTTATCTCCCCCCTTATCTTTTCAGATGATTTGGGCCTTTCATATGTATTCCATAATTTTGTACATTTTCCCATTACTCCATAGTGAATCCTTCCAAGATTCCTTGAGTTTGATATTACAGAAAAGACTATCTTTGGTGGTTTGCCTTATAATATTATTTTGTTTATTTTATCTAAAGATAAACATGTAAAAAAATATGGTACTAACCAACATTAATTTCTAATACATCATCCTCCTCCTCAAAATCATCGTCAAGTTCATTTTACACTATATTCAATAAATGACTTGACAAAATTGAAAGCATTATCCATAGAAGTAGAAATTAGTTTATCAGAAATCCCACACTCTATAGACCTCTTCCAATAATTGTGCAATTATATCAAATGAATGTGTTTAAGGGTTTTTTGTGTAATCATAAAAACAATAAAAAATAATTTAAAAAACAATATATTAATCAATGAGCTGTTATTCCCATAAAACTACAGGTTTTTTTTTGTAGACTACAAATTTGCCATTCTGCAAAATATGATTGAGCAAATACTTTTTAAAGTGTCTACTTGATTCTCAAAATGTTCCTCTTTTCTTCTTTGCAAAACCTCCTTGAATATTTTTTAAATGATTCAACATTATATAGAATGTCTAGAATACCATATCAATATTTATCTATATATAAATTATATAACTTTCCATCATTTTAATATTTAGACTTTTCAAATGGGCTCAAGGGGTGTAAATTCTTGACAATATAGGCATGTATCAACTTATCAATTTTATTTGATGTAATTGGTTTTATTTTACTAATGGCATTAAATAAAGCTGATATACTGAGTTGGATCATTTTTTTATGGTAGTGGAGTTTGCTGGTTTTCTTCTTGGCTCATTTAGATATAAATATTGATTATGAATGCTTTAATCGCATCTCTAATTAGAAAAAAAAATTATATTATAACATAAAATTTATATAAAAAATATACTTTAATATATCTAACAAAATTTTTAGATGAGTCTGTTGAACCTTTTATCATTTTTTTGTTTGTACAGGGTTGACATTCAGCCTGTACATTGTCTTTCTTGACTTAAATTATTTAAAAAAAATTCCTTCTAAAATTTCAAGATTAGGATTTGATTCTGGGGAACTTATTTTCGTAATTTCACATTCCCTATCTTCTTCTTCACTACCATGTGTGCTAATCATCTTACAAATTAAAAATATTACATAAAATTGTAATGATATTCTCTTAATACTTATTATTTTGGTGTTTTTTATCTATCTATCTTAATGTGAATTGTAGATTTTCCAGCTGATTTTGGTTGTTAATATATTTAAAGTATGGCTAAAAAAATAAGGAAATTAATACAAGATTCAACAAAGAAAATCGGTTATATTGTGTGTTATATAATTTTTTTAAACATGATTTAAAAGTATCTATACCTGTATCTTTTGTCAAGAAAATGAAAAAGATATAATATTCTTTTCAGAATCTTAGATACAGATACTAGTATCTTATTAAATTTCAAAAAGATACTGAGTACAAGTTACAAAAGGATCGTGTATGTGGGCCATACTATGCCGAATCGTTCAAAAAGGTTATATTTTCGGCCGACCCTTATTAAAATTGTTAAAAATTTTTGGAATTGTTTAGATTGGTAAAAAAAATGAGAAAGCCTTTTATTTTAGCTCGCTAGCTTATCTAGGTCTCGAGATATATGGGCTCATAGGTGCAAAAAAGAGCCACTTTGGAATCTGTAAAATTTTTAAATACTTATATCTCAAAAATTATTTATAGAAAAAAAATATAATATATCATATTGTTCTCGAGTTATATTCCTTAAATGTGCGAAAAATAGTGACTTTCGAATCTATAAAATTTTTGAAAAGCTTATATCTTAATTAGCGTCAATTTGGGTCTTTAACTTCCGGTTTACCTATATTAATTCACCCATGTTTTTAAGCAATAAAGAGAGTTGGTTTTCGGAAATTTTTTTTGTCTTTTATTTTGACACTTATAAATATATATGCGATTTTTGCAATAAATGACGCTATCAGCTACTCCGAAATATGCACTTTTACCAAAAATTAAATTTTTATTTGCATAAAATAAATGGCGCTATACAAAACTACAAATTATGGTTAAAAGCTTGTTCCTAATAATATTTTTTTATATTTAAATATTTTTAATTTCTGGGACATCTATGTTAAATCGATCAAAACGCCCACCTTTTAAAGTTTTTAAAAATTGCTGGAATTATTAAGATCGGTAAAAGAAGTAAGAAAACCGTTTACTTTAGCTCGCTAGTATACCTGGTTCCGAGACACAGAGCCTCAAAGGTGCGGACCTTTAAAATTTTATGCTTATATCTCAAAAACTTTTTAAGACATGAATTCTATATGAATTTAAATGTAGGAGAATATATTGTTCAGGAGAATTGCTGAAATTATGCCTACTGGAATAAAGGACAAGTTACCATCCATTTGTGATTAAAAGACACTTAAAAATTTAAGTTACGTAATTATATCTGAATCTCTCATTCATAATACAACTGCCATTCATTTATTCCATAAATATTTAATCCGATACTTAAAGATTAAAGTCGACCAAAAAAATAATTCTACTTTTCAGATGGAGCAGCATCACAATATAAGAATCGCAAAATTATAATCAATCTTTGTCACCATGTAGATGATTTCGAAATAAATATGTTACATTTCTGGGCCACATCTAAAGGCAGGCATGTGATGGAGTCAGAGGTATGGTCAGGCGTTGTGGCCAGGGCTGGTTTATAAAGACCTATTTCAGAACAAATATTGTCATAGAGTTTTTTGCCTATTCTAAGGAAAATATCAAAGGCATAATATTTCTAATTTATTAATATATTAATTTATTATGGAATAGATTTCTCCTATATTATTGAAAACGAATATGAGAAAGAGCTTAATAATTTTAGAAGAGAGATTCAATAAAGCGCTTACAATATTAGGAACGCAAATTTATTTTTCTTAACCAACTCCCTTTATTGCTTAAAAATACGGAGAGCAATATAGATAAACCGGAAATCAGAGATTCACGCCAAATCTCATAGACCTTTTGAGATTTTTGTATCTACAATTTGATATATTAAATTTATTCTACTATAAAGAATTTTGAGATATAAGCATTTAAATTCCTCTGATTCGTTTCGCATTTTTGAAGCCATGTATCATGGGAACTATGTGTGCTACCTAGCTAAAATTAACGGATTTCTCATTTTTATCTATCTAAATAATTCTTGAAAATTTTAACATTTTAAAAGGGGTCGGCCAAATCGTGATCGATTTGACAGGGAATGTCCCATCTTAGATACAAGTATTCGTGATACAGCCCTGGAAGTAGTATATATTCCAGGCCAATTTTGAGATATCTTAAAATATAGACTTCAATTTTTGCAAAATTTCCCTTATTTTTTAAATCAATAATTTTTCTAAGCAATTTTCAATTGCGTTTTGTTCTTTATCGTAAATGGTAGGAAAAGAAGTTACTAAATTTTTTTCAATTTTATCTTAGATTTTAGTATTTAAATCATTAAAATATGGAAAAATTTATACTGTACATTTATTTGACTTGAATCCTTCAGAATTATAAAAAATTTTTTTGATTTTGATTAGAATTTTAGAATTATCTTTTATTAAGCTTTTAATTACCCTGGTATATTTTTAATCGTAAAGTATGCCAATAATGCTGACCAAATCTTTAATATTCGAATCAAACCTATAGGTATCAAAAATAAAATCTTATATAATTCCGTTTTTATCTAAAACATAAAAAATCAAAGAAAGTTCGACCAATTTATTGCCTAGAAATGAAAGATATAGAGACACATCACCTTTATTTTTTAGAAGTAACCCTGCATGTCTTCATCGTCTTTACCCATGGCTTTATCGTGAACTTAACGCTTTAAATAATCTTCATTTTCGCCCTGACCTTTACATAAATGATAATATAACTGGCCTAAACTTACAAACGAATATTCTAAACAATGAAAATATTATTGTCCCACACAACATTATTTCAAATATTCACTCTTCACCGATAAATGTTAACCACGTAGTTGATTTAATCCTATACAATGTTCGAATTTACTCGATCACTAGCAATGAATTTCGAAGTACCCTTGCAAATTATATAAATTCTAGATTTGTTGACCATTTTGTGCACGAATTTAATGCATTCGCCCGAAGTCCTATTGAGAACTATGGTGATTACGATGTCTCTGCTTTTTATCATATTCCTTTACATGGCCCGCGCCATAATTCCCTCACATATTATCACGGTATTGATAATATCAATAGTGGTCGATCTTTTCAACCCACTCAACCACAAGGAAATGTGCTCAATAGCGCAATACATATTGATTGCGCACATACTATTACAAACTCTTCCAATATTATATCGAACACCACGATTATCAATAATATTTCTGAAATTAGAAATCGGAATGATTTTCAACCTAGACCCGTTCCAACAACTATTGCACCAATAACTTCTGAAAATAAGTTTTTCCCGATTTTTAATATCACGAAGCTTAAAAAGAGACATGGTAAACAAGAAACATTAAAGGAACATCAATCAAATAAATATTTATCAAACTGTAATCACGCATACCTCCAAAAAAGAGAGCCAAAAAAGTTCCATAAAAAACCCTTTTCTAAGGCTGGTTCATCATTTTGTGAAATCGTTCAAACCCTTCCTCCTATAAAAGATAGGAATCACCAAGTATTCCCATTATTTTCATCTAGTTCTTCATCCATATACGAATCCGAAGATAATTTACCACTAGCGGATATCAGGCATCGTATAAATCTATCAAAATTGGATATTTTTCACAATTCGCCCGAATCATTGGAAAATGATCAGCCTACAACGAGTAAACAATATTTGAAAAAAACTAAAGACGAAAAGGTAAAAAGACAGAAAAGTAAGCAAAATATATTTACTCTTGACACTTCTGACAATCACAACTTGAATAATTCGCCAAAAAAATTACCAAATAATAGTGTTAATAATAGTAATTATAAAGATATATTGTCGAATGAATTTAAATCAAATTTGCCACAAACTTTAAACCAAAACAATACAAATAGATCTAAAACGGAGCTTACAGCTAAACGCTCATATAACCAGGACGAGTTCTTGAATGATAGGTAAGTATAATTATATTCATTTCATTTTTATAAAACAAATTTATTAATTTTATATTCAGTTACATTTAACAATACAAATTAATTTTTTTAACCTTTAAAAAAATCTTGAATTTTATGATTAAAAAAAATTTGTGAATATTTTTTTCAAACTCTGCTTCTAGCCCATCAGGCCCATACATAATTTATTTAAAATGCTCACATATTTCTAAAATATTACACCTTTTTCACTTCTCCTTTTTTTTACTGGTATCACTTTTTAAAACTTTGGAGAAAATTTTAAACCGAAATTTATATTTATCCACGTATTGCTGGAAATTAGCCCGATTGCCTTGTAAATAAGGGAGGAATTGACTTAATATCACATACTTTGTTGCCGCTTAAACTGAAGGCAACTCTAGGTCATAGACTTGGCTGCGAACTTGACCCCATAATCTTATGAACTATAACCTATTAATTAACGTTAATTTAAGGCTTGGATTTAACATTAAAAGTCAAGATCGCATGGTCACTTTTTAATTAAGTTTATATTTAGTAGATCAACAGACCATGGATTAAGACATAACGGCTTGATAACTATTCCTTGGGCCATGGGAAGATATTTAATTTGGAACTATATTTCATCCTTTCCAATCAGCATCAATAGCAACCAGCTTACCTTAGCACAGAGACCAAAAAAATTAATTAATAGACATAACTTGGCAATTTTAAATTTTTTTCAATAGCAACTTTCCCTAAGGAACAGTTCACACCCATACCTTCGATTTTTTATGGTTTATAAAATTTAATTAAATCATAAATCATTTATCTTTCCTGCCATCTATTCACTCAAATATAATAACTTATATATTACATTAAATTTCCATTCTATTTCTAAATAATTTTGAATTACGTTCTTCAAAGTTATCCATAACTATAAATCATTTTGACCCATCTTAGGGCATATCTGATGAAACAAAAAAATAAGTTATTTTGAGCTAGCCTAGGACTATGAAACTCACCAGATAGGTTTATTGTTGAGTTGCATAAGTTTCAACATGAGGTTTGTTTAATTCCTTGGGGTTATATTAGAGTTGTTTCGATATTTAAATTGTTATCGTTAATAGATAATTATTTTATTTTTATACATTTTGAGTAAATTATTTGCATTTATAAATATGGAAATTGATTTGATACTACTTAATATATTTGGGTAATGGCTAAGTGTAGGCTAATTCGTCTCAATCTTCAGATGCCTGCATAGGAAAATCAGTTAACATTAAGGCGTTTTAATTTATATTAGTTTATTCCAAATTTTAATTGCTATCTTTTTAAAACTGAGACCAAAGTGATATTTTTCGGCTAAAAACTTGATTTGGCCGATTGGCTAAAAATATAGTAATTACCCAATTATACTCCTTAATACTGCAAAAATTTATTTGATTTATGTTTATTTTATAAATTGATATGTATAGACAGAAAAGTAATAGCAAAATAAAATTTCATAAAGTCTCCACATTTATTGCAATGTATATAAGTAAAAATTATAGTGTGAACAAATTGCAAAATTTTTTTGTAAATGCTATTTTACTTAACAGCGTTTTAGGAATAATAACGTTAATGCAAGCACTATTATAATTAAAGATATAAGAATTTATATATTTCGCTTTTCATATTCTTGAAATAGTTAAATATAAGAAACCTGCAGAGGTAGACATTTTAGCCCGAAGGAAAATTTATTATCAAGTTAACTTATTTTTGTTTTAACGGAAATGCATAAACATTTTTTATAATTTCTTAAAGAGGATTTTAAGGGCTCCAAAATGATATATAATTTATACATTTGGATTAGGTATTTATCGCATAATTTGAAATTCTTAAAACTGAGATCACATCTGAATTGGAATTGGGAGAGCCTGTAACTCCGGATCCATTAGAACTAGACCATTAAAACTGTGATGATTATTTAAGTTGAACTGTATATAACCATGATACCAATTAGCATTTTTGGTCGATTTGTAATGGAATGACTTAATTTTTTTTTACTTTTCGAAAAATGAGACATCTTTATCTTACTCATTATTTATTTTCAAAAACGAAACGCGTTTCAAAAAAAACAAAGATGTACCGATGCTAAAATTTAGCTAATATTAGTGTTAATAACCCTTTAAAGGTTTTTTGGGTTTTAAAATTTTTCTAATATTTATTGAAAACATGATTTTTCAATCTCCTTTTGCTGATTTTCAATAAATTGATTTTGATAGCAATATCAATCTGAATAAGATGAGCCATTTTAAGGTAATGTACCTTATTTTTATACTGATTGGCCCGATCATTCATTTATAAATCGAATATAGATGGTTATACATTTACGGATAGAACAATATCTTATTATCTGATAAAAGTGTAAAGATTTAGATAGTATGTATGAGTCCCTACTATAATGATTAAACTATAAAATACAGTTAAGAAATAAATGAGTATTAAGATATACAAAATATTTCACCAGTTATAGGTAAAACCGTTTTTTTCGCTACCAAAAACAAGTAATTATTTACTTTTTCTGGGAAGTAAATAGGAACATAAAGGTTTTGCTCAATTTTATACATAAAATAAAATAAAGTAACGCTCAATTTTAAAAATATATTAAAGAGGAAAAGGAACAATAGATTTATATAAATGTTAGTTGCAACTTATATTATGCGTATGCAAAGCCATAACTACTGGAGAAAGGTTTGGGGGCTAGGTTTCCATATAAATTTCTGCCCCCCCCCCCAATAAAATCTTTGGAAATTTTAATGCGTTTTATGCTATTGAAAATATGTTTTTATTTAAAATGGGCAAATATTATATATTAATCATCTAGGACAATTAATTTGTTTAATTTTAAAAATAAAACAACCACCCTTTCTTTCAAATGAAAATTAATTAATACTGCCCTATACATATGTTTATTTTTTGAAATTACTTCCCTTATAGGTCAATTATTTATGTCTGATTTTGATTTTAGCTTCCACCATGATTATAATTGACTAAACATTTTAATTAAAAGCATGTCAACGTGTCAATCGCCGGATACCCATGTGTCCTCTATTCAAGAAGTTTACAGATCTCCCATTTTTGAAATGTCAGTTTCTTTAAATAAATTACCCTTAGTTAACGCGGAAGATAGGACTCTAGATTGGGCACATGATTATACCAAATGGTGGATCGATAAGAATAAAGAAATAAAAAATACCGACTCAGATTGGAGCTCTGTCGAACAATTCGTTATTGATAATATTTATTACCACAAGGAAGAATCAACTTTTCATAATTTAGTTTTGATTGATGAATAAAATTCCCATTCGTGATTATAAATATTAATTGTATTATTTATATAAAGGTATGAAGAAGCTTTGAGTCACATTCATTATTGAATTAATCACATCTGTAATAAACAAATAATTGGAATAAAATAAACATATTACTAAAATAATATGATGTTTAATTCTTACTTAAAACTGACTATACGTTATTTAAAACTTCAATTTAGGTTGTCAAATTCGATTGACGATCACTAAAAAATTATAATTTCATTTAAATTTAGCAAAACCTTATTTATTTGCTATTATAAAATAATTGAATTTATATTTGATAATAGGAAAGATAAAAAAAAAGGACACTATATTTATTTCTGGTGTTATTCGTGTAATGGCAGAGGTGTTTTTTATAGAGGTATTTTTAAGATTGCCAAGGTGCATGCATCTAACTGTGATGAGGATAAAATAAATAGCAAGACTCCTCAAAATAATCATGGTATCAAAATTTTTAACCTTCATTTAAAATTTTTTCTGCAAAAGTTTTGTACATTTATTACTATAACCGAAATACAAATAATAGTCCTGCAGCATTGCCTGAAGTGAGTGGTAAAAGGTAGCTTTAATAAGTTTCAAACAGATTGGACTCAAAAAGTTACAAACTAATGCTAGGTTTAAAATCAAAAATAATGGTGCAAAATTACATATTTATTTATTGCTTATATTTTTGATTTTCCTTTGATACAATTTACAAAAACAGTTATTTAAAATAAAATTTTAGTGATACAAATCCTGACTAAAACTAATTCAAAAATAATAGTATTTTTAATCTTTCAAGTTAAACATTTTCAAACTTCTATAATTGGAAACTTAAATGAAGGTTTTTTCAGCAATTGAGGCCGAATCAACTTCATCAGGTTATATTTAAAATTATAAGTCAGTTGGGACGGGCAGAGCCATTTAAATTTTTTATCTCATTTTTTGGCCTAGCTTTGTTCATGATTATTTTTGCCTTATTTATATATTTTTTCAATATTTTTCATGAACATAAATTTGCCTAATTATCATCATTATAAGCAGCTCTTGGCTTATCCCTAAAAAATATTTTGCACAATATGTCCAGCCTAGCCCAAAAATATTTTTACCATTAGACAATTATCTGCTATTTTATTCATAGTGTCTGGCGACATAAAATTGTGTACCAGGGGATAGAGTTTTAATCTTCATGGTAAATGATGGATTATCAACCAAGGACATTGGCTGAACTGTATCAATTATAAAATCAGCAATTACTTTATCAGCCAATTTCTGAGAAATATTAGCATTTGTATTATTAATTAATTTGGTTTGAATTGAATTAGTCTTTTTGGATGTAGTCGTCTATACCAAAATTAGTTAGATGTTTCTCCATTTCCTTAAAACTATTGGCATAAATAAATACTATTAGAATGTAAAAATGACAATTTACCTTTAGGCGTTTCTTGAGGTTATAGCTACTGTAGACAAGGGGGGTTTGGGGTTGAAACCCTCCCCCCCCCCATAATCTCCAGAAATTTTTTTTTTATTTAAATTTTTTTTTATATTGTGAATAATTTCATTTAAAAAACGGTTGCAATTTAGAAATAAAATAATATATACTATATTATCAAAATGAAATATATTTAAAAAAAACAAATAAGAATTTTTAATTTTAAATGATCATATGATTTAAAAATATATATTAAAAATTATATGAACTAAAATATTTACCATCTCAATTCTTGTGAGATATCAGATGCTTTAAAAGCCATCTATGAATCAAAAGATATCAATATCTAATGTATTGAATAAAATAAAATTGATATTGTTGCAACCAACAGAGCAAGAATAATTATAATAATGGATGCAATCATTTGGTTAGGGAGGCAGGGCTTATCATTAAGAGCTCATAGAATATCTGCTGGCCCCTTAACACTACATACTCTTCTCATAATGAAGGGAATTTCAAGGAATTGTTAAACTTTTATGCAATAGTAATGATAACTATATAAAGCTTTTTGAAAGCTCTGCAAAAAATGCCATCTACCTTAGTCCAAATATTCAAAATGAAATAATAGCCATATGTAAAGGGTTCATAATGAAAGAAATTTCTTTAAAAGTGAAAGCATCATTATGTTTTAATGTTTTGGCGGATGAGACTTCGGATGTTGGTAACATAGAGCAATTATCCATAGCAGTAAGGTTTATTGATATGGAATCAGGTGATTTCAAAATGAGGAACTCTTTGTTCAATTTATTGACTTACATAACATTAAATCAAAGACGATCCTTTAAGACCTAGATTTAAATTTTAATCTAATGAGTGGCCAAGGATATGATGGAGCTCCCTCGATGAGTGGTCAAGTTAAAGGGGTGAAGTCAAGAATTAGACAGTATAGCACAGCTCTATAATTTCACTGTAGTTCACATTGCCTAAATTTGATGATATATGAGGCATGCGAAATTCGAAACTACGTAAAAATATTTTAATTTATTAGATTTTATTATGTATTATAGATATCATTTTATAATTCTAATATATTTATTAAAATTTAGAAACAATATCGTCGGTTTGTGACTTTTTCACACTACCCAAGAAGAAGCAGCTTTTTATCCGAACTTGATGATATTAATTCAATTAACAAAAAAAACTAAAAGGATTTTGTCCAACTAGATTTATTGAAAGACTACAATCAGTAAGACATTTCATCAAATTATATGAAATTATTTTTGCAGCGCTCGAATCCCATATCAAGCAAAGATAAAGATTCCGTAGATGCTGAAAATCTTTAGATAGCTATTACGAAGCCACAATTTTTAATATCAATTCAATGTGTATATTTTATTTAATTATACATATGATTTTAGCAAAATGCTACAAAAAATTGATTTGGATTTAAGTGAGGTTATGAATAGGGCAAAGGATATTGTTGAAATATTAATAAATATCAGAGATAATGTAGAGGAAAATTTCATGAAATATACGAGAAAGTAAAGGAGATCGCTAATATGATTGGGTTTGAAATTTTTAAACCTAGAGTAGTTTCTAGACAGTCCAATCGCTTAAATATTGATGTATCTACGATTGAGGATTTTTATAAAATAAATATTTTTATTCCCCTTATTGATACATTTTTATTTCAATTAAAAGAAAGATATATTAGTCACAATTTTATTTTAAAAAGCTTTTATTTTCTTCTGCCCGTTGAGAAACGCGAGAAGATATTAAGAAAATCTCAGAGATTTATTCTGATGATTTATCAGGTCGTATGATAAGTTATTTTGTGATATCGATGGTATAAAAATCTTGATAGAACAGAATATTCTTTGAGACCAAAAAATGCTTTGGTCTATTTTTAATAAAAGTATTGCATTCATTTGCAATAAGAATTATTTATATCTTGATTCATTTGTATTAATTATAATTGTTAAATTATATTTTTTTAAATACAGTACAAGAATTACTTATATTTTATTGAATTATATTTTTTAAAAATATAGTTATTATATTTTTTTAAATATAGTTATTTGCAATAAATTTCTAATATAATCTGTATAAAATCTCTACATTTTAAAATTTATTTTATTGTATATTATCATTAAAATAAATGCATAGTTAAATAAAGGTCGATGTTACTTATACTAAAGTATTTTAATAATAAATAAAATCTATAATGAAATTCTCTAAAATTTAATTAAAAAAATTATTTTAAACATTCTATAAGACATATTGAGTGATCATAAAAAATGGAAAGTTGGGGGAGGGGGCCAATTTTTTTTCTTCAAAATATAGCAGGCATGTATGCAGCCCCACTGGATGGATTAATTTACAATTGACTAAACATTGATAAAATTTTTAAAATAATGCTTCCAGCCGCTTATTAATCATAAATTTGGCCAAATGTTACTAATATTTTTTTCATTTATGCTGTTTACTATAGTGATTAGACACTAATAAACCACATAATATTGGCAAAATTTAAAACACCCCCATGACGAATCCTGGCTACGCCACTGGCTACTGGATTGATTTGAGGAAAAACTTATTTTACATTTTAAACAAATAAATTTGAAGGCAGTTTTGGTTTTTATATTTATTTAAAAATTTTTTTCAAATCTAGGGAATGGGAAATTTGTATTATAGCTATTAAGAACATTTTCTTCCCCGGTATCATCCATTTCATTAATATCATTGTCTGAATCACTTTCAACCATTTGGACATCCATAGGAGATGACATTTTAAATTATTAACACGTGATTTAGGTTTATAATATAAATTACAAATTGAATATATATTTCAATTTCAAAATATAATAATAGATTATAAAAATTATAATTAATTATGATATTATATTTAAATTTTCATGTTTATACTTACCTTCATTATATTTTTTAAAAGTAGCTAAGTAGCACGCTACTGAGCTACTTTCAAAAAAAGGAGCGCGCTCAAAATTTAAATAATTACAAAAAAAGTACCAGCAATTAACTATAGCTACCAAAAAAGATCGCTACTTTAACAACTTTGCGAGAAGGTAGAGCATAGTGCAAAATATAGGTTTATAAAGGATCTTATCTGAATGATGAAGAATTTTTTATTGATCCTTTTTAAAACTATCAGCCTGCATTTAGTTTGAAATTAATAATCACCAATAATTTTTGATCCCATTATTACTTTTAACTCAGTCTGGTATGCCATTTTTGACATATAATTCGTATGTTCTTCTGCTAATCTTCTGCCATGAAAATTAGGATGCAAACATTATTTGTTTCAACACAATTTAACATATCACTGATTTTAATGGGATTAATCTTGTACATTTAATATTATTTTTTAAATAATCATATGATCATTTCTTATCAAGTTATTATAAAAATCCTTATCCATATTTTTTCTCAAATTAACATCGAAATATTTGCAAAAGTTGAAAACACATAAAAGGAAGCATTCATTATTTATTATTATTGTTGTTAAATTGAAATTTTCAAGCATTCCAAGTTTGAGTAAAAATTAACATCAGAATGATTATATATCATTTAATACATCTGATTGATGTGATTTAAATCTAAGTCTCGTTTCTGTTTGAAATGTTTATATGTTTTGATAATGACCTAATT